CGGTGGGAACTGGGTGGAGGGGAGCTATGGGGGAAAAAAAAGAGGAACAAATGTAATAATCTGAACAATAAAGATTTACTAAAAAAAAAAAAAAAAAGATGATTTTATATATGTACTGGTTATTTGGATTTACTCTTCCAAGAGTTGCCTATTTGAGGTAGTTTATCTTATCAATTCTAAGGAATTTCTATATTATGAATACAATACTTTTTATTGATCAACTTTTGGTAACTTATTATACCTCCCCTTGAGGCTATTCCAAGTATCTCCATCCTCCTCTTAGATGTTACTCTGTCACCTTTCTTAGTTGATGCTATAGTGAGAAAATTAAGATTTTTAAAAATCCATTCCACAAATATTTCATGAGTACCTACTATCTACTGAAGATACCATCTTTATAACATAGATGGTATAAACAGGGGTGGGCAAACTTTTTGACTCGAGGGCCACAATGGGTTCTTAAACTGGACCGGAGGGCCGGAACAAAAGCATGGATGGAGTGTTTGTGTGAACTAATATAAATTCAAAGTAAACATCATTACATAAAAGGGTACGGTCTTTTTTTTTTTTTAGTTTTATTCATTTCAAACGGGCCGGATCCGGCCCGCGGGCCGTAGTTTGCCCACGGCTGGTATAACATATCATATGCAACAAGACAATTATAATCCTTGCACTCACGAAGCGTACAATTGGGTGGTAGTATATGGGACCTAAGAGTACTGACACAGGGAACAATGGGGTGATCAGAAAAGTATCCACTCAGGAGATGATGTTTAAGCTTTCATCTAAAGAAGTTAACATGAGGAAGGACAGGATTAAAGTGCTAAGGGGAGCTATAGGTATGCTGCAGTATGTACTAGAAACTGAAATGACAACCAAGACCAAATGAAGATGGAACACAGGACACAAGGAAAAAAGTGCAGAGTCAAGATAGGAGAACATAAAGGCCGTGGTAAGAAATTAGAATTTTAAGTAAAATGGGAGTAGGGGTCAATAAATGTTTAGAAGGGGAGTGGTATGAGATAAGGTAAGCCAGAGTGCATGCAGAACACCATGCCAGTCAAGGAGTTCAGCCTTTATTCTACATGCCCCATATATGCTGTGTGATTTCCTTCCTTTATGTCTACTCTTTCATGTTTTCTCCCACCTGACACACACATACACACACCTATTGATACACTTACCTATCAAAATTCTAGGACTTAATCTCAAATATTGCCTCTTCTACAAACCTCTTCTTAGTTTATCTGTATTCTTTTATAGCCCTTGTAGTCTATAGATGATCAATATTTATATATGTGCCTTACTCCACTATTAGAGTACTTGAACTAGGGGCTTTTTTTTACATCTCCTGTAGTACTTAGCGAGCCAGGTTTTGTTTTGTTTTGTTTTTAAATAAAGGTCATCTTTGCATAGCCAACAAACAAATCTCAAGCAAACTAAGTAAAAAAAAAAACGAGAGAACCTATAAGCAATAAGAGTTACTTGTGAATTTTTAAGTCATTACCATCTCTCATGTGATAATTATCTTCCAATGGTTGGCTCAGCTGTGCCCCACTATTTGCTCCTACTTGTCATTAAGGCCTCACATATTATTCACTCTCATTCTATAGCATTTATGCAGGAAGGCAGCAATGTAAGCTCCCTTGCCTGTGATTCTTCCCACAGATAATAGAAAATAAATTGCAATTAGATTTTGGTAATTGTACATAATTAACTCAAAATGAGCTGTTAATTATAAAAAATATGTTTTTTACTTCCTCGTTATCTCATTTATTTTAGTTCCAAATTCTTAATGCCTCACTCGAGTCAGTTTAATATTTTAAATACATAATATTTTTAATACTAAGATAATTTAAATTTCCAAATAAACAAAACTTAGCTTAAAATTAAATTTTAACTGGGGAGTTCTACTGGCAAATGATTCTCAAACACTTAGATGCAGTTAACATTTAAAATTTTTTTAAATATATATATTTTTATTGACTTTGGAGAGGAAGGGAGAGGGGGAGAGAGAGAGAGAGAAACATCAAAGATGAGGGGGAATCATTGAGCAGCTGTCTCCTGCACACTCCCTACTGGGGATGGAGCCCGCAACCTGGGCATGTGCCCTTGACTGGAATCGAACCCAGGACCCTTCAGTCCACAGGCTAACACTCTATCCACTGAGCCAAACCAGCTAGGGCTGCAATTAACATTTTAAAATGCCTTTATCAAATACACATTAGGAAATACTTGTTTGAAAGTAGTGCATGGTTCTATCTTATTTTTGTCATAATTATCTGAATGTAGGACATGGATGCCCAAGTGTACCTGAATTTTTAAAGCACGTCCATCTCTTAGACTAAAACACTAGCTTCTAAAGCATTCACTACACTTACTGAACAGCAGTAATGAAAACTTTCATAAACTGCAAGTGGGAGTATGAATTGCTGCAACTTTTTGCTAAAGAAAATTGGTATTGAATCTTGTAATTTATAATTATAAATTATATAGAAATATATGTATGTAGAAGTAACAATTCTATTATGAGGAATTTATCCTAATAAACAGATGTAGCAGAATACAAGAATAAGTACAGTCATGCTTGTTATAGCATTGTGTAGTGGTAAAAACTTGAAATAATTTGGATGTCCAACAATGGAAGTGCTGGATATGTTAACAGTGTTCAGAGAAACCATGGACTGTTATGCATTTATAAGAAACGAGTTAGAATTTGAATTAGTTTTCTATTGCTGCTATAACAAATTATCACAAGTTTAGTGGCTTAAGCAACACGAATTTATTATTCTATACTTCTGTAGATCAGAAGTCTGACACTGGTCTCATGGGCTAATACTGGGTATTGGGTAGGTTATGTTCCTTTCTGAAGGCTATTCCCTTGCTCATTCGGTTTGTTGGCAGAATTCAGTTCCTTGCAATTGGACAACTGAGCTCCCCATATCCTTGCTGGCTGTCAGCTGACGACTGCTCTGAGCTTCTAAAGGCTGCCTGCACTCCTTGGCTTGTGACCTCCTTCTCCATATTCAGTGCCGGCAATGGCAAGTGAAGTCATTCTCATGCTTGGATTCTTCCTCTCTCCATCTCATCTCTCTGACCCAGCAAGAAAAGACTCCCCAGTTTCCAGGACTCATGTGATTAGACTGAGACCCCCCCCGATAATCCAGGATAATATCCCATCTCAAGGTCTAATCCCTTCATTATATCTAAATAGTCCCTTTACCATGTAAGGTAACATATTGAGAGGTTCCTGGGATTAGGACACAGACACCTTTGGGGGCAATTATTCTGCTTACCATAGTTCTACATCTAAAAATCTGATAGATGACCATGAAGTACTGTTGAGTGAGGGATGGGGGTGGGGATTAACAAGTAATGTGTTCAGTTTGATCTCAAATATTTATAGATATTGTACATATATAGAGGCATAAAGAAAAGTATAGAAGGATACTAACATGAATTCAACAAAGACAATCAGAACAGGGAATAGAATGAGGAATGAAATATGACAGGTCATTTCTTGATGTGTTTTTGGATGTTCTACTTTTTATAATAAAATGTTTTTCTTTTGAAATTTAGCAAAGTTTGATTAAAAATAAAATGGAATATGGAAAAGCACTTGAGACCTAGCTTCCAAGCACTGTTATTAGTTTGGCTTAAATAAACTCATTAAAAAAAGGAGAAATATGAAACAAAATCCTATCTAATAATAGACAAACATGGTAATTAACCATAACTTCGTTACCCTTCCCATCGGCTAATCAGGGCGATATGCAAATTAACTGCCAACTAAGATGGCAGTTGATTTGCATATATCTGCTGGGAGCGTAGCAAGCCAGGCGGCTGAAAACAAGCTGGGCGGCAGAGGCGGGAGCAAAACAAGCCAGCCAGGCAGCTGAGGGAGGCGGAACGATCAACCTGGGCCAGGGGCTGAGGGAGGCAGGAACGATCAACCTGGGCCAGGGGCTGAGGGAGGCGGGAACAAAACAAGCCAGCCAGGCAGCTGAGGGAGGCAGGAACGATCAACCTGGGCCAGGGGCTGAGGGAGGTGGGAACGATCAACCTGGGCCAGGGGCTGAGGGAGGCGGGAACAAAACAAGCCGGACATCCCCCGAGGGGTCGCGGACTGCGAGAGGGCACTGGCTGGCCTGAAGGACTCCCCCCTCCCCGAGTGCACAAATTGTTGTGCACCGGGCCTCTAGTGTATAATATAAAAACCCAGCTCATGCTCGGCCGGCGTGACTCAGTGGTTGAGCATCGACCTGTGAACCAGGAGGTCACTGGTTCAATTCCTGGTCAGGGCACATGCTTGGACTTCGGGCTGGATCCCCAGTGGGGGATGGGGGGTGGGTAAAGGAGGCAGCCAATCAATGAGTCTCTCTCATCATTGATGTTTCTATCTTTCCCTCTCCCTCCCTCTCTGAAATCCATAAAGAAATATATTTTTTTTAAAAAAAGGAATCTTAAAAGATTCATATATACTCTGAGCTAGCAGTACACCAAGGAAATAGGTTGTGATAAATTAAATTATCAGAGAGGGTCTTCAAAGCATAATTTATAATAGCAAAATCCTGTATTATACAACAACAGGCTTATAGATACTGAATAATAGATGTCACACATAAATATTTGTTGAGTGAATAAATTACTGTGTTTTCATAAAAATGTAATGGCATCAGAAAATATGATAGAGTGAAAAAAGCAAACAAAATTCTATATAAGCATACTCCTTATTACTAAATATAGGATATGTAATTATAAAAAAAAGATTAAAACAGAAAAAGAGCTGAAAAGATTGTTTCTGAATGGTAGGAATATGAATAATTTTTATTCTCTTGTTTATACTTTATTATATATATTCAAAATTTTATAATGAGAATGTATTTATTCATATGATCAGAAGGCTGGATTCACCAATATGAAGATTTAACTATAAACCAAACATATCCTTCATATCTATGTCCTACATATTCTTGCCTTGACCAACTGCCCGAGTTTACCTTGGTCCAGAGTCACTCCCATTCATATCCAGGTTGAGTTCTCGAGGCTTAGTAAGCTTGTTATCAGCAATCAGTTCTTTTGAATTAAACACAGCTTGAGTTCTTAACCTGTAAAAATAAATTCAGAGAAAGTTTTCTCCTGTGGAACCTAAGAAACTGAATGCTAATCCTTGAAAGAACATTTTCTTATAGCTATATTACCCAGCAATTATTTTCAAATTACAAACTATAAAAATACTAAATACACATTAATAAAGACAAAGCAGTTTCATAATAATTTAAATTTTTTTACTTATAGAGGAGTGGGGGAAGGCTGAGTTGGTTAGAATATAATTTAAAAACTCAACATTATAGATGTTTTAAGAGCACTTTAAATCTCTTCTCTACAAACTTAAAGCTTTTCCATATCCATTTTTAAGCAGTGTATTTTGGTCACCAGAGTCTAAAGTGGGAATTCTAATAACACTAATTAAAATGACCCTGACCATCATATCTATAGCTGCCATTTCAATTCAACATAACACTGAAAATACTAGCCAAAGCAATTAGAGAAGAATAACAAAAGGTATCCCTGTTGGAAAGGAAAAAGTACAATTGTCTATTTGCAGATGACACAATCTTATATTTAGAAACCTTGGCTTTACCAAAAACTGTTAGAATTGTTAAGGGAAGAACAGTTTATTTACTTGTTTATTTTTTAAACTAGAGGCCTGGTGCACGGATTTGTGCACAGGGGTGGGGTCCCTCAGCCTGGCCTGCGCCCTCTTGCAATCTGGGACCCGCTCAGGGGATGTCCAACTGCTGGTTTAGGCCCGATCTAAACCGGCAGTCGGACATCCCCTGAGGGATGTAGAAGTGTGCCACGCAGCAGGCAGCTAGGGAGGAGCCTGAGCCAGGGCCGGGTGCTGCACCACTCGCACTCATCTATGCCCACTGCGCATGCCGCCACTGCTCGGTAGCACTGCTGCAGAGTCAGGAGGGGCTCCCACCGCCGCAGCTGCGCTTGCCAGTCATGAGTCCGGCTTCTGGCTGCGCAGCACACCCCTTGTGGGAGTGCACTGACCACCAGGGGGCAGCTCCTGCATTGAGTGTCGGCCTCCTGGTGGTCAGTGCGTGTCATAGTGATTGGTCGGCTGGTAGTTCCAGTCATTTAGTCGTGAATAGTGACTTAGGCTTTTATATATATACATACGTTTTTATTGATTTCAGTGAGAGGAAAGAAGAGAGAGAGGGAGAGAGAAACATCAATGATGAGAGAGAATCATCAATCGGCTGCCTCCTGCATGCAGCACACTGGGGAATGAGCCAGCAACCTGGGCATGTGCCCTGACCAGGAATCGAACCACAACCCCCCTGGTTCATGAGTCAATGCTCAACTACTGAGACACACTGGCCAGATGGGAAGAACAATTTAAATGTCGGTAAGTTTAAATGAATTGGTTACTGAACAGGAAAAGATTGAATTTAGAAGGTCCCATCATCTATATATAGAAAAGCCAAGCAACTGGAATGACAGAACAACCGAAACAACCAGTTGCTATGATACGCACTGCAGCAGCCAACTGGCCATATCGGAGCCCCTATCAGCGCCCCCCCAACCTCCTGTGGCCCCTTCCCACGGCCGGTCCCACCCCCAATCAGCCCTCCACCCCAATTGAGGGCGGGGCCGGCCAGCTAACCTCCCGCAGCACCCTCCTGGCCGGCCTGGCCCCTGATCAGCCCCCCCACCCCGATTTGGGGCGGGGCCGGCTGGCCAACCACCCATGGCCCCTCCCCCTGACCAGCCCGGTCCCCCCATCCCGAGTGGGAGCAGGGCCGGCAGCCAACCTCCTGCGTCCCCTCTCTCCTGTGGGCCCAGCCCTGATCAACCTCCATTGGGGCAGGTGGCCGGACCCCACCTGTGCACAAATTTGTGCACCAGACCTCTAGTTTGTTATATTTTACTAGAGGCCCGGTGCATGAAATTCATGTGCGGGAATGGTCCCTAGGCCTGGCTGGCAATCAGGGCTGATCAGGTTCCCCCCCTCCCGCCTCTTCCTTCCCTCACTGCCCGCACACCACTACCGTGTGGTTTCTTACCTGCTGGCCTCCTGGCTTCCCCGCCTCCACCTTCCTTCGCTCTCTCAGCGCCCCACCACTGCCACTGGTCTCCCACCATGTTCCGTGCCGCCCCCTGGTGGTCAGTGCATGCTATAGCGAGCAATCGAACTCCTGGTCTCCCGTTCGAACTCCCAAGGGGACTATTTGCATATTAGCCTTTTATTATATAGGATGTTATAGTGGAGCGACATAAATATGGAATGATGACAGCTAATCATACTTCTTTACAATTGGATTCCACACCCTGAAATCTCAAGCTTTTACTTAAAGCCTAATGTTCTTTACAATGACATCAAACAATGAAGGATTTTGTGTAATGGTGGTATCATTAAAAAATATTGTCGTTGGAATCTGGCAAAAATTACACTGGACTCCTTAGTAGTAAATATTCTAAGCTAACATATTGGAAGACAAGGTAATCTTTCAAGTCTTCCAAAGATGATAGTGGAATTTACTTAGTAGTCATAATCTGTCCTCATCCTGAGAAAGCCAAGACCCCAAGGAACCTGTTCCTACACATTTGTTACAGCAATGCAGTCATTTTATCCTGTGCTCTCCAAGCTACAGACGCTGCTGAAAGAACAGGTAGGACTCACCAATTGTAGTCCAGGCGAGACTGCTGAAGCTGCTGCTGCTTTAGGAGAAGCTTTGTCTCCTGCTTGGCCAGCAGATGCTGAAGGCGCTCCTTTTCAATTTCCAGCTCCATTTTTTGAAGCATAAGTTGCTGCCTTCTATCTTCTGATAGCTGCTTTTTGAAATCAATTTCACTGGGCTGCAGTACCTCTTGGCCATGCATCAGAGATGCCCAGGAACGCCCACAATAATGGCATGATTCCGGGTGTGTCTTGGAATATTGAGGGGCCATGTCTGTAGGATGGCTAATGGGAACATGATCTGCATTTTCAGGAAGTCTATCAGCACAACACTGTCTAGACAGAGTGGGCTGAAGGTGCTGGCATTCCTTCATCTTCAATGCCTCTGAAGGAACTTTCTCTGTAGGGACTACATCTGTTAGTTTTTTCCCTGGGGATCCATAATCACGTGTTCTGGTTTCTGATGGCATCATGTCAGGATCCTCTTTGGGATAATGAAGGGCTGATGGTCTCAAAGAATTATTTCTGAACTCCACAAGGGGTTCCGAAGCGGAGTCCAGGTTTTTAGGCCTTTGCTTGGTTTGATAGTAGGTTTGTGGTTTGGCTACACTCAAGTAGGAACCATCCAGTTCCACAGATGAAGACGGGAGAGTGCTCTTCCTATTGAGTACCTAAAAGGAACCACAAGACCAGTTGTCAAATGGGAGCACAATGAAACAAGTTATTTCTTTTGGCTTTTCAGAAATTAATTATATATTTTCACCAAAATAAAGCTGTTTTATCGTCTTAAATAACAAATGCTAGTTTTTACACAGCTACTAGTAAAGTAACACGTGCCACAAAGCTAAATCCACATTCAAACAATCGAGATTTCAGTAAATCCGTAAGGATGAGAAAAAGAAATGTTGCTACTTGCTGCTTAAGCAAGATTTCAGGAGCTGCAAATAATGAGGGCTACATAAAATCAACTTTGAGAAGAGGCAAAAAAATATAGCATTAAATATTACTATCTTAAAAGGTTTAGTTTTGAATACTAAGCCAGGAAATCCATTGAGCCACCTTAAATACTCTTTGAAATACTCTTTGATTGGCCATTACACAGCATGAGATTTGATGTAAAACCTTTCACCTTATACTAATAGAATGTAAGTTACCGTTAGAAATTGGATGAGTTTTTATAAGTATTTTTACAGAACACAGATAAAACCAACACTTTCAACAAAATATGATTCTAATCAAAAGTGGTTATTTAAATACAAAACATTTAATTCCAGCTATAAACATAAGTGATTTTTCAATTAAGCTGTTCAAGTGATTATAGTCTGATAAAACCCAGGCAGAAAGGAAGCAGCTGCAAATTACCTTTGACAGTAGAGCACAGTGAGCTTTCCCAGCATTTTTAGCCTCAAGCTCGTTCTATCAGGGAGAACAAAACTTGGTGTAGATCGTGATTCTCAAACTTTAACAAATATCAGAATCACCTGGAGGGCTTGTTAAATGTCAATCCTGGCTTTCATGCCCAGAGTTTCCCTTTCGGGAGGTTTAGGACGGAACTGAAGAATCTGCATTTGTAAGAAGTCACAGGTGCTGCTGTTGCCGCTGTGGCTCTGGGACCCACTTTGAGAACTACTGTTCTGTATCATGGAATATCTGGTTTCTGTATCCCTCTTCTAAGGACTGTTCTGATTAAATTGGGTTCACTCAGGTAATCCTGAACAATTTTCTCATCTCAAGATCTTTAAAGGAATCACATCTGTAAAGTCTCTTTTCATACAACGTACTTTACACCATCTAAAATGACACTGACAGGTTTCAGGAATTAGGACATGGACATATTTCGGGTGGGGCATTATTCAGTTTACCAAAACTTCTTTGTAAATAATTCATAAACAGTTGAGATGTTCATCTATTCTAGAGACACAGAAGGAACAAATAATTGAAATCCCTAGTAGAAGGGGAATAAAATCCCACCAGTTTACTTAGGAATAGTTGAAAATCATGACTGATTGGTAAAAAATGCCAAATAACAGAGATATACAGCAATACTATGTTTCCTATTCTAGGATAAAAGATTGCTATTACAATGATTCTTAAGATTTTGAGTTTCGAAAGCAATTCCAAAGGAATTCTATTAAAATGAGAATGAGCGGCATCTGGGGAGGGGACCTGGTTCTCTTCAGGAAGACAGGCCATCCTGTACACCCCCAGATTACATCCTGTACACCCCCACTGAGCAGATTACAGCTGCAGAAAAGGAGCGAGGCGTTTGGTGAAACTGATGACAAACTACCTCATAAAAAAAATTAACCTTACTTTACACCGAAAAGGAAGCTCTAGTCCACATTAAGCTTTCCTATTGTGGACTTCGGTAGCACTTACTGTCAACACAAATATTTAACATTTATCGCCTGCTATTTTGTATGGAAAACTATCTTTTTATAGCAGTATTATATTTTTTAAATGACAGATACATTTTTTACTGTTCCAGAAAGTTAAATCAACTATTTTACATTAGCACATATTTTCTAATACATGTATGATTAACATAACAATAGATAGCATGTATGTATTCTTTTATATTCTGACTTTCATTCCTTAACATTATTTACATATGTGCATTTTTAAAATTTTTTTTCATGATTATTAGCTTTACTTTATTTATTTTTTGTTTTATAAAATCTTAATTGTTGAGAGTATTATATATGTCCGCTATTTTCCCCATTGACCCTTTTTTAGGCCCCCTCCCAGCCTCCCCACTGGCTTTCAGATCTCATTCATATGTGTAATCTAATGAACAAAGTAAACTGATGCACAAAATAGATCCAGAGACATGAAAGCATGGAACAGACTGTCAAATCTCAGAAAGAAGGTGGGGATGGGAGGGAAGAGATCAACCAAAGAACTTGTATGCATGTATGCATAATCCAGGGACACAGATAAAAAATATGTTTTTACTGATTTTAAAGAGAAAGCGGAAGAGAGATAGAAACATCTATGAAAGAGAAACATCAATCGACTGCCTCCTGCACACCCCCTACTTTCTAAAATATGGCATATTTTTAAATAGACTGCATAGGAAGTAAAGATGTTGATAAACATGTATGATATGACCCTGTATACATATATGCATGTACACGCAGGGGTGTAAGCATATACACGAACACACAAAATCACATACTATTCCTATGGTAATCCAGGGTTTTCCCATGCTCTCGCATTCTATAAATAACGACTGCAGTGCTGCTTTGTGAAATACCATCAACAAGTAAGCAGTGATGTTTTATAAGTTTCTGAAAATCATTTTTACAGGCCAATCTCTGCTTTAGAGCCAAAAGGAGAGATGTGAACTAAACTGCAGTTATTATTTCTTGTGACAGGTTATTTCCTTTGCACAATGAGGAAGTGATTACTTACAATGTACTTATGAGTTGTTAATCACAGGATTAGTCAATAGTACCAATAGTTCTTATTGGTAATTCCTTTGACAACAAATAATAATTTACTATCATGGCAAGCACCTTGCTAACAATCCTCATACTTCCACTGAGCATTATAAGAATGAAAATCTCAATTCTGTAACTTCAAAAATTTCCCCTGTGCTCTTCATTTTATTGAGAGGTCAGAAATTCAAGACCTAAATAAATATCAGGTGTCCCCCCCGCCCAAATGTATACACACGTTGAATAACTATAAAGGCAGTGTTTATTAAAATACATTTCATTTCCAAAATGTAATAAAATCTACAGACAGTGTGTATATACTTTTCTGGGACACCCTGTATTTCTAAACCTGAATGACTGTGTGTGGGGCAGGTCATTGCATTGGCTGCAGAACATTTGGAATTAATGGGAAATAACGTCTGAACGACGTGCTCCCGCATTCTATAAAGTCAGGCTTACATGAACCAGTTATCAAGCTGACAGAGCTACGTAATGCAACAGCTGCACTGTATGTTTTGCCAAAGTCTCATCCTGAATAAATGTTCATTCTCCCCAGTGCAATTAACTCTCCGATACTGGCAGATTTTGCTAGAAGATCATCAAGGTAGATTACCTTCCAGTGTTATGAACTAAATACTTACAGGTGTTATATCATCAGTTATAACTTACAAACTTTTGCATTTACCAACACAACCAGGCAAATGAATCATCTAATTTATGAATTATTTATAAGAAATTCACAGCATGCTCCTGGCGTCATCCATGGCCTTTTCTAGGTCACATGACACCAATTAGAGCTGAATTTTAAATTATTCAATAACCTGAACTCTCTTGTCATTTAACATATAGATATCAATGCAGTAAACAAGTTAAATCTAATGGGCCCTAGAGGTTTAAGCTTCTCTACCGCTCAGCTGAAGCTGTGGGCCATCAGTGAAAGAGAAAAATAACAGAATGCAGCAAACACATTTGCAAGGCTCTAATAACTTATTCTAGCTCCCATAGGGATTGTAGCACAACTTAGGAATATTAAATCTAAAAGACATTAAAGTCAGTAATTATGAGTTTTAAAAGAATATAGGTACACAGTAATGTATAAATGACAGAATACTAGCAACAGACACCAAATGCAATACCAACTTTAGGGTATGTACATCACAGGCCTGCCAAAAATTTTAACAGTAAGTACCAGTCTCAGAAAAGGCTAAAACTCATATTCTTCAATCAATTACTACATTTCCTGAAAGTTGGAATTTGTTGAGTTGCTATAAAAATGGAAAGAAAGCATAGAATCACTGACCATAAACTTGAATTCAGGTCAAAAGACCTTCTTTTAAAAAAAGAAATTATTTTTATTGATTTCAGTCCACAGGCCGACACTCTATCCACTGGGCCAAATTGGCCAGGGCCAGGTCAAAAGACCTTGATTAGAATTCCAGTACTGCTGCTACTTAGGAGTCCTATTATTTTTGGCGAGTCATGTTAGGTCTCTTGGGCAGTTTCCCCATAAATCTTTTTTCAGTTAATAGTGTCATTCAATGTGTAAAATGATACTCCAAAACAAATACAGTCCTAGAATTATTTTAAAAATGCTTAAAATAAACTTGTTTCCCTCTGTTCCATACTTCAAGGAGCTGCTCTGGTGCTAAATGTGAGAATAAAAGGTTAGGACGACAGACATTTTGGGAGGAATAATTACTTTTTCTTAAGTCATTATATGGAAAAATATAGAAATGGACACATCTTCTATAGCTAAAAGGCAAGTCTTGTATATCTGTCTAACAATAGAAGGGAAAAGTACATATAAACAAAATACTATGAATAAACACATTCAGTATATCTTTCCACTCTATAATTTTACCTAGAAGTATAGATTGCCACCTTGGGAAGGGCAGGCAGGATGAAGATCTGGAAGTATCCGCCAGATACTGTGCCAGCTGCCAGGGATACATTTTATGTGATAAGGTCTATGGCCCTCAGATTTTGGCTAAGGGGAAAAACATTTTATGTGATAAGGTCTACAAAAAGTTGAGAAGTATTAGGGAGATTAGTTTTGCCTTTAGCAGGGTGGGGGAAAAGCTGGGAAGTTTTCATAGGAGAGGAGAAATTTAAACTAAATTCTGGAAGTTAGATTGGAGTTTATTAATGACAAAGTTATGTGTGAGGATGTGCTGCATGTGCTGGGTAAGACATTTCAGGTAGAAGGGGAAGTATGGGTAGAGAATAGAGAT